GGATTACGATCTACACAAAGCACAGTGTCATAATATTGTGCTTCGTTTCCATAGAGACTGAGATGAAGAATGTTGTGGCAGGGAATCTGGCATCCAGGCCAAGCCACAAATCATATGCGTTTCTTTATTGCTCTGGCTCACCACTGTATTCCATACAACCCGAGGAACAGGGATAACTTAAGCATTACTATGGCTGATGCTTTATTTAGCTGTGTGTATGTTTTTTTTTTTTTACCAGTCTCAGATTTACAGATGTAGGCCTTCACTTTGCACTCTCCCCCAAAAAGAATCTTTTATTAATTGCTTTTTCTAATCTGTGATGTTCTCACAATTTGGTATCCCCAGTAATAGACATTGTCCTTGATCCCCTAACATTTCCATATATTACATTAGAATCTGGTTTACTGCATAGGGCTTGATGTAAATCCAACTATTTAGGTATCCAGGTATACACTAAGCTGATTATTCATGTACTGAAACAGAATTAGTCTCTGTTAAAAGGTAATTATATGTTACATAGCCTATACATAGGCATTGTTCGGTCATGAAACTCTTCCGAGCAGCTGATTCTCTAAAGCCAATACGGCTAAGGCCGATTGATCTGTTTGTTCTATCTAGTTATTTATTTTCCATCCCGAAGCAGCTCAACTCAGTGCAACGCGCCATTGGAATTTTTCGAAACCCCCATCTTCCCCATGCACCACCTGCCTAGATCTGCTAGGGCAGTGGTTCCCAACCTTTTTTAGTCTGAGACCCCCTTTTTCCCAAGAAAATATTTTACATTTAATGATATTATCGCTCTTGTAAGCTTGCAGCAAGGATGACAAAATATGTGTTTTTTTTTCCAAACAAACGGTATGTTTATGCACAAATAATAGCCTATAATATTGACAATACAATAACAAAAACATCAGTAGGCCCTTTGTAATTTAAAAACGTAAGCCTAGGAGAAGCCTATATATTGGCCCTATTTGAAATGCAAAAACAAAAATATTCACAGTGGTGTGTAGGTAAAAAAGAAAAGAAAAAAAAAGGCTAGGTATTACTAAATGTCTGCTGCCTGGGGCCTCAGTACTTGCATGTTATTTGTACGGCTTTATCAACGTGAGGGTTTATTTTTTACACTTTTGGCGCTATGCGAGCGATAATAAACTTCTGCATTTATTAACAGAATAATGCGTCTTTCGGAAGAACATTGGAGCCGGAACTACTTCTCTCTGTGTACGTCTTTGACGAGTCACGCAGGTACTGGGCTACTCCGCAGCGGCAGCGATCCGAACCAGTGTAAAATAGTCCCAATGCACTTATTATAGCAGGTGTAAGCAGGGCCGTATTAAGACAGTGTGGTGCCCCTGGGCACTATACCTCAAAAGGCCCCCTATATTCAAATGTGTCAATTAAAAATGTACATAAATTAATTGACAGCGTTAATTCACGTTTGCCCAAAAATAATAATAAATCTATCAGGTTTCTTACCTCTACAGGCATGAAAAGGGGTCAGGGGTGAAAAAGGTGAGAAGGATATTACCCCTCTAGGGGGGTCCGGGGGCATGCCCCCCCGGAAGAAATTTTTTAAATATTCCATATTTTATAGCATCAATCTGATGCATTTTGAGATGCATTTTTTTTGCCAACCTGGGGAGAGTTGGAGAAACTTAACTTCAGCCATGAGTCAAAAATATTATGGCCTCCGTAGCGTTAGCTAATAATTTCCCACCAGAGCTTTAGCTAGCTGGCTAATGTTGCGTTCTCTCCTGATGTGTTCAACTCAATTCATCAAGCTGTAACTAACGTTAGCAAAGCCTATGTCAACAGAGCTCCTGGGTAACTTAGATATAGCCTACCAGAAAATATTAGGGATGTCCCGATACCATTTCTTCTGAACCGATCCAATCCGATACCAAAAAGTCTGAGTATTGAATTATACCGATCCGATACCAGCGCAGTTAAAAAAAAAAAAAAAAAATCAAGTAGAATTTCTATAACTCTGTGTGTTGAACTGATAATCACTATTTTCTGTTAAACACAATCTACTTCAGGGGCGTAGGAGCCATTATACGTGGGGACATGTCCCCCCCACATTTCAAAATCGAAGTTTTGTCCCCCCCACTATTTCCCAATGTAAGATTTTGTTTTGCATTGCATGCCTATCTCTGCCGATTTCGGAGTCTCCAAATGAATCCATTCGGCAACTTTTAAATACATAATTCAATTTTTTAAAAACGGCCGAACTCTTCAGCTGCTAATCTCGTTGTCAGTCGACCATGATCGCGCACCGCTCGCGCACGCGCATCTAGGTGACACGGATAAATGTACGCAGCAATATATAATGAGTGTTCCTGGGAGATCCTAGCGGGATGTGGAAGCGTGCAAAAGTTCCAGAAATGTACATAAAGTGCCCTGGCCTTGAATGACAAGGTAAGGAAAATAAGACTAAATCTAAATTAAATAACCAAGACTAGGTTGGCCATGTGATTTTTCTCAAGAGATGTTTCGAGCATTTTACTTCAGACACCGGATTATCAGCAAACTGCCAAGAGAACTGCTAGCTGGCTACTCAAAATAAACTAGCAATCTATTCAGGCAGCATATTTGTGTTTGATCTGTGTGAATTACAGAAATATAAGACTTGCTAGACCTACTTTTAGCTACCAAGGAACCTTTCCACAAGGATAGATTGATTTTATTTTTCAATCTATCCTTGGGGGGTAAGCTAGGTGGTTAATGGAAATTAAATCAACCATTTATTTGAATTTTTAATTTTTAGTTAATCAGTACATGACTGATTAACAGTAATGTAAATGCTAAATGTCCTAATACCTGTTGATACTACAACAATGCAAAGTATATGCTCTTAACCTTGCAGTTTTTCACATATCATGTAAGACTCATTTTCTCAATTTCTTTGCACAAAACTCTCCAGAAAGTGCCATTTAATGGTTTATTTTTCAAAAAAAATTCCAGGGGGAGCATACCCCCGGACCCCCCTAGGGACAGCCCACCTAAATAAATCCCAATTTAATCACTGCTTAGAAACAAACTAAGTAATACAGTCTGTTCCCATAAGTCTTTAGAAATTAGCATTTAAGTGCCTTATATATAAAAAATATATATTTTTATATTTATACCCCCCCCCCCCCCCCCCCGCCCTAGCATTTACTGTCCCCCCCAGGTTCAAAATTGCTCCTACGCCCCTGATCTACTTAATACAGACAACTTCATTATAAAGAAAAACAACAAATAAAAAAATATATGATCATAACCTATGACAAAAATTCTATTATATAAACTAGATTAGTGGGTAACTCAGCAGTAAAATTTAGTCTAGAAAAATCACAAGTGCACAATAATTGTATAAAATCGAACATTTAGTGGAAAAAAAAACATTATTTAGTGAGGAACAAATAAGAGACAATAAGTGTAGCACTAAATCTGGTAAAACATTTTCATGTATTAAGTTTAGCAGAACTGCTCCTTCCTTGATTTTGCGCAAGCAAAGGTGTCAACTACATCCCCAAAGTCCATTTCTTTGTTACCGTCTCCACAGTTAGCTCCGGCTTCGTCAGACTCAGCGCTGCTAGTGATCGCAATTCCCGTGATGTTCTCACAAAAAATCTTTCGATACCTGGAACATTGTGAATTGTAGCTACGTCTAGCGTCCTTGTCTTTCTTTAACTTTCTTTTTGCAAAACCACTCAATTGACGTCTGTCCAGTTTTGATTTTAATTCATTTTTTTGTAGCCGTTAAAAAAATGACACATTTGCACGTATTTGTTGTGGACCAACGCAACTCTGACAGATTGGGGAGGGGGGAGTGATAGTGGTCATGTAATCTTTATTTATTTATAATTTATTATTAAATCATTATTGTTATTATTATTGTTAAATTGGTGTTCATAAACGATTTATTTATGGTCTGTCAAGAATTTCAAGTTAATAATATAACAATTTACGAAAAATATTTTTAATGCTTGACTCATGTGGTGCCCCCCTAGTGGTTGTGAATGGTTGGTGCCCCTGGGCACTGGCCCAAGTGCCCTTATGGATAATCCGGCTCTGGTGTAAGGTGTACCATAGTGGTTCAGGATAAGACAAAAACACAGATTAGAAAATGGATTCATGATGAACTCGCTCATTATATACATTTTGTAAATTTTGAACAGAAAAAAGTTAAGGACTTTTATTTAATGCTCATTGTTCAAACCTTTCAAAATATGACGCGACCCCCCAAGGAGCTCGCTGAGGCCCCCTTGTGGGCCGCGACCCCCCTGTTGGGAACCGATGTGCTAGGGGGACTTCCCTGTACCTTCCCTGCAGTAGCATTCTTATCAATCAAATTGTGTTTAATTATATTCTGTGAGTGTTGTAATGATATATATATATATATATATATATATATATATATATATATATATATATATATTGTATAAGATTATATTATTTTTTATTTATTTATGCACTTTATTTAAATAGTAATTTGGTGTGAGAAATTCTTAATATATAAGAAATTATCTTAAATTCCTAAAGTTTTTTTATTTTTTTATACAAATATAACATGTAGTCTGTTTATATGTTTTATATGTTATGTTATTAAAATTAAAATGCTTAAAATAGTTTTAGAAGTGCAGTATAGCTTGCCACTTTGCTATTTAACTCAGTTCACTACCCATTTGCTCTTTTAATATTAGGATAACCTATATTTGCCAATTTTTCTTTACCTAACATTTAACATTTTTAAATAGTTATTGAATTATTTTTGGTTCATGGCGGTTTACATAATGGTGGATCGGTTTTGTTGATGAAGAAGAGGGAGGTGTCTTAGTTTTGTTTAGGTAAATTCGGGTATTTCCAAAAGGGACTGTTCCACCAGACCATTGCCACAGTCTGTATAACCTCCCTAGATCAAATCTACCTAACAACAACTTTTAGGAATTTTGTTATTGGCCTCCCTGTCATCTTGGAGGCTGTGCTGGTGTCGTGGTGACGGTGCATTTAAGGTTACTGGTGTTTTACTTTCAATATTGTCCGCTTTAGACTTGAGAGGTACAGGATACTCTATTTGAGACTCTCGAATAAATCCGCAAATATGCGAGGACTCGTGTGTTTTGCCCTGTTTTGTGTGCTGTACGTCACTGTACAAGGGAAACTCTGTAAGTAATTCAAATTGCTTATGTGAATTCTGTATCTTTTTGTTTGTTTATTGTGCTGTGTTGTTGATTCTATCGTCTGACTTGCAACTGGATTTCCCCTTGAGGATTAAAACATCTATATATTTGTTAGCTATAATATGTCACTCACTATGTATCTATAGAATTGATTTGATTATTGTTTTTCCTATAGCCTTCATTTACAAAACAATGTGTCATGTCACTTAAATGATAATCTTTTTCATATATAACCAAAGTTATGTCTTACTGTGATTTGAAAATAATTAATTTATGCATATTAGTATGTTTTATATAACAACTAATGTTAGACCTACTACAACCAAGGTTATAATTTGTAGGGTCTCGTTAGCTAATCAGAATGCAGGCCTGTAAAGACATTGTGTTTTTTTGTTTTTTTTTTTGTCTGCAAAGTGAATGAGGAAATCTGATGTAATTTGTGTTTGGTTTGGGACAATTCATGAAACGAAGTCTGGAAGTTTGTGTTTAATTTTTATTAAAATTTAGTTACGCATTATCTTTGTAAACTAATATTTTAAATTCTATTTTCAGCCAGTCCCAAGATTCAGCTGTACAGCCATTTTCCAGGAGAGTATGGAAAGCCGAACACCCTGATCTGTTATGTGAGTGGCTTCCACCCTCCTGATATCTCCATTGAACTGCTGAAAAATGGAGAGGTTATCCCTAACTCCCAGCAGACTGACCTGGCCTTCGAAAAGGGCTGGCAGTTTCACCTCACCAAGAGCGTCTCCTTCACACCCCAGAAAGGTGAAGATTTCTCCTGCAGCGTTCGACACATGAGCGATACAAGGAAAATTGTTTGGGGTGAGTGTTATGTGTGTATTTCTAGAAGATACCTTGTGGTTTACATGACACAGCACGTGTATTGAACATCTTATGTTTTTCCGCAGAGTCCAACATGTAAAGCTAACAATCAAAGGAAGACAAAGGGTGGTAAGTGTTACCTTGTTTATTATCAACGTAGAAAATATAGCAATACCAAGTTTTTTTTTTACCATTCAAATGTGGTAATTCAGAAATGTAAAGAAGAATAAAGGTGTGTGTTTTTCTTTTTTCCTATAGGATAATTTCTCATGTTTTTTTGGACATTATTCATCGTCTACAGAGACCATATTATCCTACTGTCCCATATCACAAAGCTAATGTTGCACTATTCATTCAAATTACATCGCAACATCCGTGATTTTAGTTTTCCTTGAGGTGACATTCTTTTTCTTCACAAGATTAAGGATAATTTAAACCAAATTAGCTGCTACATGTTTTTTTTTTGGATGGGTTTTGATTAGTTTATGGGTCTTTTTCCCCGATTTCATTCCTCTTTGTATAAATCCTGTGCCTATTTCTGGCTTTATTTTGAAATTAGGCTAATTGCAAATATTACAACCAACTCTCTTCTTTTAAACCATTTGTTATTTCCTCTTGTTAATCTACATATGTTCACAACTGCAAATTGGAATATTAATGAATATGAATAATTAAGTTTTACAAATTGCTACCGAGAAAATGTAATTTTTAAGAGAGGAAAATAAAATTTTGAAAACCTAATGAAACAATTGTGTTTATTTGCTTCAAATAGTCTGTACTGTCTTGCATGTACTTTGAAGTTAAATCAAGATCATAGTGATTGTAGTGAATTTCAGTTATTTGACTAACCTAAAACATTCATGTCTGCCTAGCAACTGAGGGATCAAGACGTTGATTGGATTAAAAAAAACGAAATGTAAGAGTTTCGCTTTCTATTAAAAATGAGAAATCCTCAAAGTTTGCGCTACGAGTCTTTTTTTTATCTCCACTTTTATCATATTTGTTTTCATGGACTGAAGTGCGTTTGACAGCAAACGTCTGTATCCCGCGCCCTTGACGAGTCTGTCGCACGCTGAAAAAAAGTCACATGACTTCCCGAAAAACCTGTGATGGTGACGAGACCTGTCTATGGACAAGACAAGCCTCCCTCTGATTCGCAAGCGTTGCTAAGTTGGCATCAACAACTAGTCATATTAATAACACTGACTGATGATGTAAAGCTGAAATGCTGTGAAAATCACCAGCTTTTTTTTATTTGAGACCTTTTGTAAATAAAGCTGTTTTTTTAATGTAATATTGTAAAAGAATGGACCTTTATTGATGCACATTGCATGTTGTGTTAATGCAATTCAGTATGAAAATGTGCAATATCTGTCTTATTACAAATTCTATTAAGAGTGATGCATGACATTTTTGATGAATACCTTATTTTTTATTTACTGTGTGTGTTTCAATGATTTATAATATTATTATTTATTAACTCTTGAGACACTTTTTTGAGGCTCTCTTTTGGATGTGGTGAAAATGATAAATGAACTGTATTTCTGATTATTGTGAGAAAGATTGTCAGAGCCTCAAAACGAGTTTAATACAATGGTAGCAGAAGTAGCCTATATTGATGATCTAGTGTCGATCTCCTCATTCCAATTGCTTTTAATTTGTATGTATTTGTACATTTTTTACTGTCAATTGGTATAGGCTATATTAAATTAGTAATAAAATAATTTGTATAAAAAGACAAAACATAACAAAATAGTAAATGATTCAAGGATATTAATAATAATAATAATAATTATTATTATATTTGTTGTTATAATGAAGTAGGCCTAGGCTTATTATTGTTGTTGTTATAGATATAGGCTAATATAGCCTACTAATTATTTACTAAATTAATTGCTGGAAATTAATTGTTTAGTTTTGTTTGATTCACCTTTCTCTTACGAGGAAATATTATGAGCATTTAAGAAATTATTTAGAGGAAGTAGGTGGGGTTTGGGACTTTCCGCTTTGTAGCAAGAGGTATCAACACAAGAGACTGTAGAGTCACCAGTCCGAGAGACATGACACATCTAAACAAACTTCACACACCTGTGTATGGTATCGACTAGAGGAAGATGTCAGGTAAAATAGACCCGTCGACGTTCCTCTTGGACGTTCCGCCGGTGCTCATGAGGACTTTCTGTAGACTGATGGACAGCGGGGTGGACGGTCTGGGGTGGAGAGCTTTAGGTAAAACTATACGCACTTTACCATGACAATGTAACATTGTACTACCGTTACTGTAAGTATGAAGTTAAGCAAACAATCATCTCAGGAATTTCCCTGTATTTATCTTCTTTGGTAATGTGTTGATGTCAAATTATAGCCGCTGGAATATAACGTTACAGTTCAAATATTCTGTTCAAGCTTCTTTTCTCCCCACAGTCTTAAAAATAAAGGGTCTAAAATGGGGTTTTCGCAGCGATGCCATAGTAGATCCATTTTTGGTTGCTTAAAGTACCCTTCAGTTATTTATTTTTAAATAAGCGTGAATAACATTTTCTACTATAAAGAACCCCTTTCTGTAATGGAAAGGTTTCATGGATGTTAAAGGCTCTTAATAACAAAAGATACCAATTATAAAGAAAGCACCTTTATTTAAGAGTGTAATTAGATTGGCATTAGTTGGTCAAAACTGGTACAGTATGGTCACTAACTGGTCCAAGAAGATCTACCATCAACAATCCAGCTTCTACTTTGTAACTTGTCCCCACAAACGGTGGTCAAGGTGGTTTTCAGAACAATAATCAACAAACTAATTGTCAGCTTGAACCAACTAGAAATACAACTAATTGTCAGCTTGAACTAGAAATACAAAACACACCAGGCAGCTTAGGCTGGATTCTCCAACAGAGAGGGTCTTCAAATCAGCGGCACTGGATCTTGTGGGAAACATTTTGTGACATTCATCCCAGTCTGATTCCTTCCAGCTGCCCGCATCCTTCCCAGTCAGCTGGAGGTGAGATGTGCTGAAATGTACGTGGCTGCTGGGAAAAGTCCAACACAAGAGCTCATGTGGTCCTGGGCCCAGCAGAATAAAAGAGTGGGGGATCTGCTGAAGGTTCTGGATGAGATGGGTCACGCTCGAGCCACCAGTCTTTTTCAGTCACAAGGTAACATCTTCATAGCTAATTATTGTGATGTTCCCTTTATGATAATGTACCATGGTAACTGTAACTGTTATGCTAAAATGGTTGCTATAGTAATTATACACAATAAATAACTACAGTAAATATAAAACTTAAAGCAGAAAAAAATAAATGAATGAGTCTGAAAGCTTTAAAGGAAATGTTATATTATTATTATTAATAATAATATTATTTTAGTATTAGCAATAACTGTAACTAATATTTTAGGGGAAATTCTTATAAGAATTTTGTTAAAATTTGACTGGCTCTCCAACTTCCGCTTATTATTCACAGAAGCTTTCTATATCAGCTAGTGCTACTTTATATTTGTAACGTATATTGTACTTTAAAGAGGAACTTGACAAACCTAAACATGTTGTGAACTGGATGCAAAAACAAAGCATGCGATTTAAATAACCAGCTGTGCATGTAACCCCACAGTCTTAACAAATCGTATCGCCCACAAGACCACACACCATTGGAAGGACAACGTAATGAAACTGCTGTAGCGAAGCTGCCACAGTATAACAAACAGTAACCAAACTTATTTGATTCTATTTCTAGACTTTTCATGTGTGCTGAAGTCATCCTCGCCCCCTCTCTTTGCCATGGTAATGTTTTTTTTTTGTTTTTTTTTATGCTGTTATTTCTGCATATTTTTAAAGATTCTGATCAGATGCTTGGGGTTTTTGTGGTTTAGGATTCTTAGAAAGCAAAAGCCTGAATGCTCGCAAACTCAACTGAATCTTAGCAGTTTTATTTTTGCCAATTTAGTCACATTATGAATATTTTTTTAATTCACCCTATCTATATATATATATTTTTTTCATTTTCCAATCAGCATCTGCAAAATACTGAGAAATTCTGTCAAACTGCAGCTCTTCATCCAGAGTCTATTTCCGTTGAAGGTAATTTGCTTTCAAAGTACAAGCACATTTGTATTTGACTTTTGTCTTTGCTTTAGTTAGTATTATTGTACATGTAGCGGTAATACAAGAACTAACTATATATGTCATTCTAGATATTAGGTAAAAAGTTTCATTTCTGTTTTGAGCAGTTTCATAAGGATATGAGATGAAACCTTATTTGTCCATCTCATAGGTGAAAAACAGAAGTATTGCATCACATATTCAGACGTCATAGTGGGAACGAGACATTTCCACCAGGATTTAAAAATTGGAGAAAGCGTGTTCGCTGAGGTCTACTCTGGGAGATGGGGAAACAGATCTTTTGCTGTGAAAGTTTTCAAACAGGTCCTAACCTATTCAAATCTATGGAAGTTTGTTTCCACCATGGAATATTCAATGTGGAATAATTGTTGCGATGTGTGTATATATATATATATATATATAAACTTGCAATTGTGAGTTATAAAGTCTAAAAAAATAATTTTTTCTCAGAATTGCGATTGTGAGAAATAAGGTCAGAATCGTGAGTTATAAACTCGCAATTGTGAGAAAAAAAGTCAGAATTGTCAGACAAAAAGTCGCCAATTACCTTATCTATTTTTTTATTTCGTGGTGTAAACAAACTTTCATAAATATCTCAAAATGTGTCTCAAAACATCTTTCAAACCATCTCTAAACATCTTTCAAAACATCTTTCCAAACATCTTTCAAACCATCTCTAAACATCTTTCAAAACATCTTTCCAAACATCTTTCAAACCATCTCTAAACATCTTTTTACATCTTATGTTCATCTTAACAGACACATTTTTATTTTGTTTACCTGTTTTTTGCACATTCATTTGCCATTACATAACTATGTTCTTTTCTGGCAGTTGTTCTATATTAAATTAATAATAAAATACTACAAATACATAATAACATAATAATAAAATAGTAAATAATATAATAACATAATAATAATAATAACAATGTAAATATGTAATGTACTCATTATTTACTGAATTAACTGATGGAAGTTATTTTACTGTGGAAAATGGGGAAACCGATCTTTTTCAAACAGGTCCTAAGCTAATAATGCCTGACTTTACATACAGATATAATGCCATTACAGTTTAAAAAAAAACACTAATCAAATTCTTTATTACATTAACAGGAAAATAAAGCTAATTGGAAGGCGTTGTGGGAAAAATTCAACAAAGAAATCGAAGTTCTACAACTGTAGGTTCAGTCTGCAATCTGCTTGATCATATTCAAATGGTGTTTTTATCATGTTGTCAGTTGTTCTTATTTTTGTCTGCTTAGGTATCAGCATCCTAATATCTTGGAGTTATGGGGCAGCTTTTCAGAGGCGGATTGCTTCTGTTTAGTTTATCCGTACCTTCGTAACGGATCATTGTTCCACAGGCTTCATGAGGTAAATCATCTGCCAGCAAACTGTAACATGCTATAGTAATAGTAGATTACATCATAGTAATATAAAAATAAGTTTTACTCTACTCTTGCCTTTGTTACAGGAAGTTGACAGGCCTTTATCATGGCAGGAAAGACTGAACATCATAAAAGGCACCGCAAAGGCAGTCCACCATCTACACACTGCACAACCGTGCATGGTTATTTGTGGAAATATTACGAGGTGTCACTTTGAAGCCAAAGCTACAAATTTGGAGGTGCCCAGTAAAGGTGATGCATTGTAATGAGCTTGTTTTGTGTTCTGTTCACAGTTCAAACATACTCTTGGATGAGAACCTGCAGCCCAAATTATCAGATTTTGGATTAGCTCATCTGAGACCCCACTCTGTCAACCAGAGCCTCACCATCGTCATGAATACCGGCTCCCATAGCAACCTTGGCTATCTCCCAGAGGAGTACATCCGTGATGGCAAGCTGTCTGTCAAACTTGACGTTTACAGTCTTGGCATGGTGAGTTCAGCATCCTATTTCAAAAATGAGCCAGGTACCATTTGTATAAATAAAGATTTACGTCAGAATTTTAATGGAAAGAATTGAGTTCCAGCTGCAGAATACTGGCCATTAATATTTCTTTCTAATTTATTACTTACCAGTCATGACATACATACCCCCAACATTAGCTCTTATTTTTTTGTTTCTTAAATGTTTCTATGCTTGTAGGTTATATTAGAGACATGTACAGGACAGAAGGTGAAACAGGAGACAGCAAAGAACATGTTTCTGGTAAGAATCCACTTCAGTAAAAAAAAAAGAATATATATATATTTTGAAATATGTTTTAACAATATATATTTTTTAACATATATATATATATATATATATATATATATATATAGATATATGTATGATACAAATAAATTGTATTTCAAATAATTCAAATAAATGCTGTTTTATTCATCAAAGTATCCTGAAAAGAATGTATGACACATTCCACAAAAATAATAAGCAGCACAGCTGTTTTCAACATTAGTTACATGATACTAATAAGAAATGTTTATTGAGCACCAAATCAGCAAATTAGAATGATTTCTGAAGGAAACAAACCATTATTTTGAATATTTGACAATATTACTGTGAGACAGTATATACATTTTTATTTAATTATATTACCGTAAAGGGATAATTAAAAATTGTCATAATTTACTCACCCTCAACATTCTTCAAAATATCTTCTTTAGTGTTCAGCAGAAGAAAGAAATTAATACAGGGTTTGAAACAACTTGAGGGTGTGTAACTGATGACAGAATTTTCATTTTTGGGTCAACTATCCCTTGGCTTTAATGATCAACGTTTTATGAAATTGAGTTTGTTTTTTTTACAGCTTGCTTTAATGGTTCAATGACCTCCTATCTCAAAAGATCGAAGAAAAATTTGATTCCTCATGATATTCATCCATATAATTCATATTTTACATTAATAGAATTGATGACAACATTACTGTGCCCTTCGCTGACTTATGCCATTGCATTTCTTTAGAGAGACGTACTGCATTCAGAGTTTGAGGAAAAAGGCTCTGTTGATGCCTGTCTGCGGTTTTTAGATCCCAAAGTTGAGCACTGGCCTCCTGTGGTGGCACTTAGTCTGCTCCGAATCGGACTAGAGTGCACAGGCAGCAGAATGAGAGTCAGGCCGACCATGGAAATGGTTAGTAAATGGCCTCATTTACTCAAACATGTACACAGATAAACACATATATATATATATATATATATATATATATATATATACATTTTTTTCGTCTTCAGGTGCTTCAGAAACTAAGCCAACTTCTTCCCATGCCTGAGCCCCATGAGGACCAACCACACACCCTAGACGATATGATATCCCTTCAGTGGCCATACAACGGCCACAGTCCGGGTCTAAGCCTCCCTATTGAAGATGATGAAATGTGCAGCCCTGTGGAAGCCAGAGTTCCCAAACTGGGAGAACCCTGCGAGTGCAGCCAGTCTGAAGTCACTTTCCTGAGTGTGGGAGATCCTGACTTGTCGCATTCCCCCAGGGAATCTCTCCTGGAAAATGACAAAGTGGTTTCAGCATCACAAAATGTGCAGGCAGACTCTGCACCTCACCTGGACTTATATGGGAGTTGGCCTGTGGAGTGCAGCTGTACCACTGGAGCCGAAGTGCAGGGGTGTGAGGACTGCTGCGCCAATGGCTTCAGTCGGTCGGTTTTTTATGTCACTCTAGGCAAGTCAAGGAAGAATACACATAGACATCTGTCTGGAAGTAGGTTTCATTGACTATGTCCAGAAATAATATCCAACATTTTTCTGTTTCAGATGATGATGCCCTGCCCTCTCAGGATGACGTCAGGAATCCAGCAAAAGAGAAAATGAAGAATAAAATTCACCTGTACAACCAGGGGCTAATAAATACAGAAGAACTTCTATCACTTAAGTCAGAGTGATTCACCCGGGTCGGACATCTCTATAAAAAATGAACTCTGGGAGTTTAATCAGCAGTGGGGAGTGTTGGTGCACATTTTGTTCATATAATTTTTTTTTTGTGCTTTATTTAAAAATATTTTAATATGTTTTAACAATATTTTTATATTTATCTACATAAAATGAAAGTAGTTTAGAGATAGCCTATACTTTATAACATAACCTCAAACTGTGTTTTAACATAAAAAAGAAGATTAAAAGCAGTTATGTATGTATATTATACCTAATATATTTTATACAGATGCTTGCAAGTTGCAACTACTGTCATTTTAGGGAGTGGTGGTGGTGTTAAACCAATTATTTTAATGACTAAAGATGAAATCATTGCATGCTAAAAAACTTCCGACAGTGTCTAGACATCCCGATGCAAAGCTCTCTGTAGTCTGTAGTTTAAGTTTTTGACGACTATTAGTATAGAAAACACAAGGGACTTTTGATCTTAACCCATGAAATGAATCTACCGTGTTTTGTCATAATAAAGAGAACGAAAGCAACTTCAATAAGTGTGTAACGTTATCTGTCTAATAATTTCACCGAGACTTTTATTTTTGGATTATCTGATTTGAGTGGTGCAGTAGCCTAATATCATCATCGATAAGAACCGCGAAATTAAAATGTATTTTCACAACTTAAAATGTAATATTTTTGTTCATTTTATAATGTGAATCAGTTTTTTATTCAAAATAGCGCTCTGTTTTCCCGTTCCAAGTTCTTGTGGATCCTGCAAAAGTAACCACGGCCGCGTTTGCATGTAGGCCTACTGTGGTCATAATTTAAATTTATATCTAATCATATATTTAAGATGCATACACATAAAACACACCAACAGCTCTTTTTAGTCCCTTAAACCCTACATACTACCGTTTGACTGTAGATTTTTTTTTATGGCATTTTCTGTTTGTTGTTATTTTAAGCATGGAGAATGTAATAGCATATGCATGTCTAACATTATATACAATACTTTATATATATTTATTTTATTTAGGTTAATATTAATTAAGGTTAATATTTTACAATAAACGATGTAGTATCTAAGCAGGTGTGACAGTTCCCTTTACTAGTGCTTCCATTGACAGGAAGCAGCACATAAACTGAACGGACTTTTATTTTGCTGTGATGTGATTGGCTGTTGTTGATCATGTTGATCAAAAATTGAACCGCGCTCGCGAACTGTAGAAATCTTCAAACGGACTGCATAAGTAAACATGGCGCGGCAAAGTCCCTCCGCCGGATTAAAAACCATAATTGGTTACATTTTACCAGAACGCGAGGTTGTCCAGTCAAACCAAGATGATGTTCCAGGGAGTGAAGATGAAGACGAGGAGGAAATACAGCCTGAATTTCTTGACATGAAAGAGATGGACTCTGTCTCATCTGGGGCAAACTTATTTAAATCATCCGTGCCAGCGTCAAAAGAAGGTAAAACAACATTATATTTTACCAAACATGTTTTATCCTTTGGTTTTCTTTTGTTTGTATGAACACAAAGTTAGCAGATGTAAAATTGTTTGCAATAACAGCAGACTCACCTCTCAGACACACTCAACAAGTAAACATAGTTATGTGTTCAGTAAACATAAAGACATGTTTTCACTTCACATTGCTACAAGTAACCATGTTTTCATTTCACAAGTTTGCAAGTAAGACAGCGGCCATGTTTGTATTTTGCATTGTGGTATGAAACAAAATATCCATGTTTACGTTTTACATAGGGTCACTGAAAATTTAAATTAAAACATAACAGATTTGAATAGGCCTAAATAAAAACATCCTTTAAAAAAATAAAAATAAATTTACTACATGTCGAAAGTGTTTTATATATTTTGTGTGACGTGTCAAGTAATAGGCCTATACATTTATATCTGATTTTTTTAGTTTTTCTTGTAGGACATTTTTCCAACTTCAAGCATTATGTTTTCTTAAATTGGAATTTCTTTTCTTAAATTGTTATTGAGTTTTAAATTAAAATGATCATGTATAAGCTATATAAGTTTATATCATTTTAACATCTGCCTGCACACATGACTGTTACAAGTAAAAGTAAACATTTCGAAGTAAGCCTATATTTATAGATTACATTGTTGATAGTAAAAACAATCATGTTTAGTACAGTTCACACTATGTCAAATCATTTTTACAGTTTGCACTGTTTCAATTGAACTCAAATAGCCATGGTTTCTCACTCCTACGGGAGACATAAAGCTTATTTTTACTGTTAAGTTTCTTGTGGAATTTTTGTTTATAGACATATAGGCGATCCTTTGTTTATGGACCGAACTCTTAATTTTTCATGCATGTCTTATTTTCTTTCGCAGTGTCATTCATGGCCGGTAAAAAGATGTACCGGGTCGAGGGCCGTTTTCTCCTCTGTGACCCCTGGTGGAAAGTAACCTGCACAGTTCGCCAAGGCCAGCACAAAGCTTTTGTCAAAGGCTATCCCTCCTACAGCCTCCGCACCAATCTGAGATCAGAGGGACGGTCACTTGTGTCTCTTTTTCTTAAAGCATGTAGAGCACAACCTGACTTCGTTAACATGTTCATGGAGTGGTTGCCCAATGACAGACATGTGGAGCTTGTCAATGTGCTGGACGCCCTGCAGGAGTTTGAAGATTCATCGCCTGAGAATAAAGCTGTGGCTGAACAGCTCAAGGCACATGTCAGTTTCTCAGGTTGGAAAATGTAAACCATGTCTAATTGTATAATATGCATAACACATAAAACAATATCAGAGTTGCTTTTGAAGTGATTTTAGAATATTATAATTAGCATAAATTTGAAAAATGTGTTTTTATCGTAAATCAAAGAAACAAGCTATGTTTCCATCAAAAGTGCTGAATTTAACTCATGTGCAGAATTAGAATATAGCATAAAACATTTGCGAATAATGCAGCATTTCTATATTTCAAGAAAAAAAAACTTCACTTTCTGGGAAATTGGCGCAAAATATCTGTAATAAAAATGGAAGTTTCTGCAATTTGGGAAGCATATGATTACTTTTCTTTGTTTGTGTAAAGTGTATTCGGTAATGTGTTTCCTTCGTAGTTTTTGCGCATGTCTTTTCGTATTAATAATGTATCGGCCTCAATTGAGTCCATACGTTTTTTTCTCACATTTTTTTAATTTATGCGCATCTTGGCATTTCCATCCAGATTTTTTTTAATGCAAAATCCCAAAATACGCTTAGAATTGGTGGATTGAAACATAGCTATAAAACATCTAAAATGCTGGTAAATTTCCTAAGCCTTAACCTAATCTAAATCCAAACTATACTTTTGCACATATAATACTTATGAAAAATAAATTATACCGAAATCATGATCACAAACCTTGTTCTTGTTAATTGTCTTTAAACACAGTCGCTTGGACACACGTGAGAGTCGCCAGCTTGTACCCTGGAATCATGAAATACTTGCCAACATTGCTGCCGGGTCAGTTTATGGAGATAATCAGCAAAGGAAGAATGAAAGACTTGCCGGAAACTTCTGAAAAAGATGATCCTACTGCACAAGAGCAGAACAATACAAATGTATTGGCCAAACTTGAGGAGCTCATTAAGACTGATGTATGGAAGTTGGGCTTCAGCCATGTAAGATTGCTTCCCAGGACACTTGTTGTTTGGTTTCTAAATCTAAAGCTCACATTATTTCCTTCACTATTTGTTTGATATTCTTTAATGAATATTTTTCCACTTTTTTCAACAGATTATGATTAAAGAATTACGTCTGATCCGGTGTGAAGCAAAAGTGGAGGCCTTCAAAGACTGTAATTTATTTTCTAGTATCCCGGTGCTCCAGCGTGACTCCTTGCTCTTGTATGCGGAACTGAAAAGACACTGCAGAGCCACTGGCAGCACGTATGCCGACCGGGAGATGTTGCTGGATAAGATATTGCCTGAGACCGGAGATGAGGGTGCCTGGAATGCTTTGCATTTTCTTGAGAAACAGGGGGTGCTGATTAGGGAGGTCGAAAAGGTGGCCCTTAGGAACCTCTTCCGCTATGAAAAAGGCATTGCCGAATGCTTGAGGAGCTTGGTTGAGGGAGAACCCTGGAAGATCCACTTGGATGTGAGGAAGGTTCTTCGTGAAGCGCAGCTGGATCGATTAAGAGCAAAGGCTTGTGAAAAGCGCAGTATGGCTAATCCAAGGAAATCTAAGGCTGATGCAAAAATATCGATTTCAGCAGCCCAAAATGACATTGTTCAGGGGGCCGTGTGTGAGCAGATGCTTCTTGATTTTGCCCGGCCTGATACTTCAAGCATGGTCCACAATGGAGGAACGGCAAAACGTGATTCTCCTCAGTCCTTTGAAATTACAAAGCTCACTATTAAAGAGGAAAGTCACACTTCAGACTCAGACGACTCGGATGACTCCACCTACATGGATCTTGATCCGTCTACTATAGAGTTGGACCCCGATCAGGTGCGAGCAGCAGAAATGATGTGCGCCAACCCAGTAACCGTGATCAGTGGGAAGGGAGGTTGTGGAAAGACTACAGTGGTCAGCCTGGTGTTTAAGGCGGCCATGGAGCAACAGACAAGTGACAGGGAAGAGGTGCTGAAGGCCTGTGAAGACTTTCAGAATGACTCCCAGGCGTCCAGTAATGGGCTGCTGTCAGACGTACACGAGGAGAAAAAAGAAAGTGAGGCGAGTGACAGTGATGTAAAGCCTGTGGAAGTTCTTCTAACTGCTCCTACAGGGAGAGCTTCTTCACTTCTTACTAAGAGAACCGGCTTCACTGCTTATACTATGCACCAGGTATAGTTCACATAACATAACTTTACATTGCACTACATTTCATAATGTAACGTTACATAACTTAAACATAATTTTACACTACATAATGTTTCATAAGATAACTTTGCAACTTAATACATTTCACAACTTTACACTACATAACTATCATAACGTTACATAACTTAAACAACAATTTAACACTACATAGCATTTCATAACATAACTTTACATGACATTACATAACATTTAATTTCACAACTTTACATAACATAACAATAACTTAAACATGACAACTTTACTTATTTCATATCATTGCATGACTTTAATCATCACATAACATTTCATAACTTCACAGTACATTACATGACATTTCAGAATGTAATATTTCTTATGCATTGTATAACTTGACATAATATTCGGTAACATAACATTACATGGCTTAAACAACATTTACATAACTTCACAGTGCATTACATAGTATTTCATACTTTACATTACACTTAATTAACATTAAATTACAGCTTTGTCAATGTTGATTGGTTCTGTTTTCCAATATGTCAATACATTAATATTTTGCACAAACGGTTCATTCCAATTTTAGTGTATATAGATGTCTCAGTTGCTATTGATACCTTGTATTAATTACACACATATTTACATGGTTAACCCCACACCCCTTTCTTCAGGTTTTATGGAGTTTCATGAATGCAGAAAAAGATCCCAGTGGAAATCCTCAGGATTGGAAGTTCTCGAATGTGCGGGTACTGGTGGTCGATGAAGGGAGCCTGGTGTCTGTTCAGATCCTTCACTCTATTCTCAGCATGCTTACCAAACATGCAGACCTCCAAAAGTTCATCATTTTGGGTAGACATATTGCATGCATAATAGTTTATCATTTAGTGTGCATTTATCAGTGACTTTCTGCAGTTAAAGTACTTGTTGTATTAATATTAAAAACCAAAAACATTTATTTTGTGTCTGCAGGAGATGTGAGGCAGCTGCCCAGCATTGAACCTGGAAACACGCTGCACGATCTGTTTGAAGTCCTCAAGAAGGTCCGTTGGGCCATTGAGATGAAGACCAACCATCGTGCTGAGTCTGAGCTCATCGTCAGAAACGCTGGACTGTGAGCAGATAGCTTGTACTCTGTAATGTTTGATGAGCTTTTAGAAAATTTAGTAACTTCTTAGCGTTGGTTCCTTATTGGTTTGTTGGCTGTGTGTACATGTTTTCATGTACAAATATGGAATTTTTTTACAAATGTTAATGGGGTTTATGTTTGTGTTATGTGTTTGGTGTTTTTCTCAATTCTAATGACAGTTTATTAATTATAATGCTTTTATTTTATTTCAGCATCTCAGAGATGGGTAAAAAAAGGCTTTACAGTCCTCTGGAGTTTGATGCCACCATAAAAATGGCAAAACCCTCCACAGTGTCATCTGACAAAAGGTTCATATTTGTCAAAATCAGTGGGGAAAATTATTCTTTTGGTAAGTGAGAAGTTACGAAAAATGTGTAATTTACTTTCAAAAAATGTACTTTAAATGGCTGTATTCTTTTCACAACACTTGTATAATATAAGCTAGGAAGTGAAGAATTATGTGAGGTGTTTACACTGTCACTGTGCTTCAGAAGCACATTCTTTGCATCTGTAGTTAAGCTGTGAACCTGAAGGCCCAGACAATCTGAATAACAAAAGAAACACACTGATCAAAAGAAAACCAATCACTGGATTGTCTTCCAGACATTTGTGTGGGCTCCTGTGTGTCTGTTGTACTGCAGGTTTTCCTGAAAATACACTTCCTGTTGTCTGTGACTCATTTGATACTTTGGGTGGCTACACAGCCACCTTCAATACATTTTACTCCCCCATAAGAACCTTAGTGCAACTTTTTGGCACACCGATATGACAATTTTGGCCGATACCGATAACCTATGATTCTTTATATTTGAAAGCCGATAACTGATATATTGGCAGATAAATCAAAATCCAAGTTTTTCTAAAATTTTTGAGGGCCTGATTACAAAAACAAAAGTCTCATCATTAAAAGCCATATCCCAAACACACAATTATAATGATGTTCTCATTATAATTTTGTGTAGCCTATATGACAGAATATATTTTTATTTTTTAAGTGATTTCAATCATATTTCAAGCAATTCAAAACCATCAGGGTGAACAGTAGTACGTATATTAAGTGTCTCAGCTGAAGGAAATAATCCATTATTTATCGGCTTCAATATATATTGGTGTAAAAAAAAAAAATGATTGGGCTGATAATGAGAACATTAAAAATTAACATATATAGGCCAATACCGATATGGTAAATTTCAAATAAAAAACCTAATTACAAATCAAATGCATTGTTGAGGCACCAAATAACTGTCAACAAAATGGTATATATCTAACATTGAGCAATAACAACACATTTCTGGTGCTGCTTAGACCTCCAGGACGCTGTTACATTCTTACTTAATGAAGCTCCTGGACTAGAAAGTGATAAATCTTCACAATTTGTGGCTTTCAGGAGGTAAGACAGATTTAGCTTTGTCACTCTTTGCTGAGATGTTAATCTTTTTAAGTTTGCTAAAGTTGTTTCTATTGTTCACAGGAAAGACTGTGAGTTGATCAATGAGCTTTGCTGCAGGCATTATTCTCATCATACTACAAAGTTAGTTTTCTTACAAATAAATAAGCATGACACTTTATTTTTATTCCACTTTATACCACTTCCATAGGTTTTAATATTTAGTGCATTTAATTTCAGGACTTCCAAACAGACATTGAACTTTCAAAGAAAGGATAAAGTTTGCTGCACTAAGAATGGCTATGTCTCAGACCACGAGGAGAAGAGAGATGTGACTGCCGGAGCTTCACATGATTATGCCGGAGCTTCACATGATTATGCCAGATCTTCCCATGTTAATGGCGGAAAACAGAGACAAGATGAACAGACGAAGGAGAAGAAAGAGCGCCTGTGCAATGGGGAAATTTTCTTTATTGAAGATGTACTGGAGTTTTATTGATTGATTTATTTATGCATTTATTGATCATCTCAAAATTATTTTTATGCTTTTAAATTCAAAATGCTTAGTTTTGAGTGATAATAACCTGAGTTGGTTTAACTTGTCCTTGTAATTGTAAACCAATCACAGGATGTGACGGAGGTTGAGGAAGGAAAATGTAAAAAAAAGAGCCGCTACCTGACACTAGATGATGTAAATGGGCGCTTGGTGACGTGTGACTACAGGGAACTACAGAGAGAGTGTAAACTTCGGCATGCTTGGGCAAGAACCATCCACACCTTTCAGGTATTGATGCTCTTTGTTCATCTACGGCCCTGTTCACAGCATTTGTCTCTGCTTCATGCAAATTGCTTATTTGTTTTCTCACTTCAGGGCTCAGAGTCTGAAACTATTGTGTACGTTCTTGGAGACAGCATTGCTCAAAACTGGCAGCATGTATACACTGCAGTGACACGCGGTCAGAAGCATGTGTATTTGGTGGGTTCAGAGAGTGACATAGAAGGAGCCATCAAGAAATGGATCACCCCACGTAACACAAGATTGTGCGCGTTCGTCAGAACAACAGTTGCCAAACAAGGTCCTGAAGACTCTTTGACTCAGTCTGCCTGCAGTCAGAGTCAAGTAGAGACCCCTGTGAACCACAGGTTCGGGCCTTCACAGTCCACACCCGTTGCCCCACATTGCCACAGCCTCCCCCAGTTGTTCTCCAGCACAAAACCTTCATGTATTCGACACCTCTACAAGGAAGAAAATGGACACAACCATCAAACATCCAATATCTCTTTGCAAGATGACATGGCATTCAGTCAAACCTATTCTTGGTCGCCCATGGATGGTTGTGATGAGCCAAGCATGGTGCAGAATGAGCATGTGTCCGAATTATCCAATCAGGTTGAAGATGCAAAGTTGTTAGAGACGATCAGCTCTTCCCCAAATGAAAGCAGCAGGGGCTCTAAACGGCTGACTCCTGTGGACACCTGCAGTACGCCGACTAAACTACCAAAGGTAACATATACACTAAACAATTTTACTGGATATTTGATCATTAAGATGTCATACCAGAGCTCAAAGCTTTATTGGTCCAATGGCATTATGAAAAATGCCAAGTGTCAATGCTGGTGTCAAGATGTCTGGACCCAGAGAGGGCTTCTCTCTAAGAAAACAAAAGACTTTTCTGGAAATTAACATTTGAACTCTGTCTTGCAAAATTAGCACCCTCTTTCAAGACACAATCACACTGAGTAGATCACAACTCAGTATTGTCTTATCTGCATTTCCTTCCCTTCAGTCTCTTCCCCCTCTCCTATCTCTACTACTAAAACTTTTATTTAAATTTTTTAATATTAAAGTCTTCTTGGATGTGCAGAAAAAAAAGATGTGATGAATGTGTCTGATATGAATATTTATGATTATAAAATAATTTAGGATCTAAATATGCAAAATTGGCTCTCCATCCATAGACAACAGTGATATTATTGGAAATGTAAGTCGTATACTGAATGTTTTAGGATGAACGTGCTTAACATTCTGTGATCTCCTCTTGCTTCAGAAAACCATTTCAGAAGAGTCTCCGTTGTGCAGCTCAAGACTCAATCTTCTGTCCATTACGAGTCCCAGCTCCAAAACCCATGGCCGACAGCTCTTCCGAGACGATTCAGATTCTCACATTGAAAAGCCTTAGAGGGGTCATTCTCAGACCCAACATGCCAAAGCGGAAAGAACTAAATCAGTCCAAATGTGCATGTTATTTGGCTTTTCAGAGGATTTGGATAAACCTGAATTAGCTTTTTACATAATTATGAATACTTTGCTAGTTTCACCCTTGAGAATAACGATATCTTGTAGTATATTATGGGTCTGTGCAAGAGATGTGAGTTCTAATTTCTGCTAGACATCCTTTGAAAAGTATAATTCTTAAATCATAACAATTGAGTAAAAGAAGGCTTAAATCTGGAACTGAAGTGCAATATTTGCCATATCCACATTTTTTTTTTATATATGTAGACCAGATTTGTAATGAAAGTCATAACTCATCCTTGTATATTACCGTATCATTTTTAAATCACTTTTATGTATTTATCTTTCCTGGCAAACTTGGAAAAAAAAAGGTACAAACATGTTATGCAATTTTAAAAAAATGTCCACGTTTATATAATATGAATCACAGCGTTTGTATCTATTGGGGCTGAAGCAATTGTTTGACTCTAGACTTCACTATTCAGGATACCTTAAAAACCGTCAAGGCTCAGTACAAAATCCATTTGAGGTTTGATTGGATGTTGTAATTGTTGGCATAATTTCACTTTTTATTTTAAACCTGAAGCATGTGACAGGTTTATTTCAAAAGCTCAGTATGGTGGTTGAACATCACATCATCTAATAAACCAGACTGAACAATAGCAGCCTTTTTTGTTCATTCAAGCTCAAATGCATGTTTGATCTATGCACTATGACTATGATCATGCACTCATGTTTCTCATCTTAAATGTCATCCTACCAACTTCTCAAATCTAATGGGCAGCTTTCATCTCTTTTAATATATTGTATGTAGATCAATTTAAAATACCCTTAAAGTTAATGAAAACAGCACATCGAGTGCATTTTGTGTTATTGATCAAAATATTCAGGGTATTTGTGCATATTTCTGCTTTTCCGGGGGTGTCAAGAAAAAAACATCTGATACTCACTTGTCAAAGAGAACCTATACTTTTGTTCAAAATAAGTCGATTATTTCTATTTTAATATACCGATAAAGACCCCTCTGCTATAGGTTTTTTAATTTATTATTATTTTTTAAATAAATGTTCAATAACATACAAAAAAACGTCATCACTCTACGCCTTGCGTAGCGGTGAAATGATTGGCTTGAAGTGTTCTGCGTCGGGGTATCAGTGACGAGGAATCCCGGAAGACGCGCAGTATCGTGAAAACTAAAGTGCTGTCAGTGTGCAGAGCTGCTAACTTACTTGACAAATCAACCCGATTTTTTAAAAGTTAATTTCATCCAGTGAGTTATATTTCACCATGTCCGCAAGAAATCCAGGAATGCATCTTGGTAAGTTGGTTAAAAATTGTTTTAATTAAAATTAATACCGCTACTTTTTCACGTGATAGGACAGGCTTTTAATTAAAAAGGACAGAAGACAGAGATTAAAGTTCTTTGCAAGCTACTAATGAGCAACAGACATTGTGGTATAACTTAAGCTATACGTTTAACATTGAACATGTAAAGTGCAACGTATATTCTTCTTGTTATGTGTGGTTAATCTTTAACTCAACCTGACCAGTTAAAACTCACTAATTCAAACTTCATACGGCCTGTGTAGTTTATCTTAAGTGTTATTCTGGTTTTCTTTCGTTTTTCCCTATATACAGTTGATTCGAAACTCTAGATAAAATGCCTTTAATGAATTTCACATGACCCATGTGTCTCATGACACAAGTTGAACAGAGGTAAATAACCAGACTAAACTGATTTTAAAATATCATTAATTATTTATTCTTGCCTTTTAGATCTGGAATGGGTGTCAAAAGTCAGAGTCAACACTCAGGCTGTTCTTAAAAGAGCCCAGCAGATCCAGGGACACAAAGTGGCCAAAAAACAGTGGCAGGTAAACTGTTTACAATATTTATGTTACATGCTCACTCCTATTGCTTGATGCCATCTTTTATTGACCTGCATTGATATTGTAGGCTGCATGGTTGCTGAAGGCTGTCACATGCATTGATCTGACGACCCTCGCTGGTGACGACACACCTTCCAATGTCCATCGACTCTGTATGAAGGCCACACAGCCCATCCGTCACGATCTGCTGAAGAGCATGGACATGCATGACAAAGGTGCCGCTGTCTGGAGGAATTTTGCATATACACGTATTTGTCACATCATCCCTGTTGGTGCCGTGCACTTATATCTTCTGTCACTCATATTGCAGTTTGCAGTATAAAATAAGTTTACCATTTAAACCTATTAAACAAATTACTGTTAGAAGCATTTTAGATCATAGTAATTGAGCAGCACATCTGTTTTCAACATTTATAATAATATATATATATATATATATATATATAAATATAAACGTCTCGCACCAAATCTGTATATTACAAGGATCATGTGACAATGAAGACTGGGGTAATGGCCAGCCATCCCAGGAATATAAAATGTAATTTATGTACTAAAATAGAAAACACTTATTTTAAATTGTAATAATATTTCACAATATACATTTTTTTTTACTATATGTTTAATCAAATAAATGCAGCCTTGGCGAGAATAAGAGACTTCTTTAAAAAACATTAAAAAGACCTCAAACTTTTAATGGATATTGTATATATTTTATGTATTATATTATTTTATTTTATTAATGTTTATAATTGTTAATTATTTTGTTATATATTATATTATATTTTATTGTATTGATGCTTTTCAGTTTTAGTAACATAAGCGTGTCACTGTATATCTGCCCACAAGAGGGAGATAAAGCTCTTTTCACCGAAATTTACTGGCTGAAGAGATCAGTGACTGTAACAACTTAAATTCAACCTTTTACTGAATAAAAAATTGTAACACAATAAACATTAGACGTTAACAGAACTTGAAGTGTTTTCTTTGTATTTTTGCGCTGTATTAACTTTTATGTATTTATTCAAATGTAGTCTTTGCATGAAATTAATTATAGATTTCTTTTACTTTAAAAACTGTGTGTGTGTGTGTGTGCGTGTGTGTGTGTGATTCCAGGAATCACGACTGCAGCTGTCTGTGTGTACCCATCACGGGTGGCTGATGCTGTAAAGTCTCTGAAGGCGGCAAACTCTAGTCTTCCTGTGGCATCTGGTAAGACATTTGAAACTGCTTATCTTAAAACACATTTCAATCCTTCTATAGACATCATCCCAGAGAGGGTGCAACCGCATTGTCTCATCTCATTCTCTTTGCTTCAGTGGCCACTGGTTTCCCTGCTGGACAGACGCCACTGAAGACCCGTCTCGAGGAGGTCCGGATGGCTGTGAAGGATGGTGCTACAGAGATCGATATTGTCATAAACCGGACTTTAGCACTCACTGGACAATGGGCAGGTGTGTGTAACCAGGGTACTAAGGGAATGCAGATACAGTTCCTAACAAAAACATTCTCTTAAACCAGACTGTTTTCTGTTGGCTTAAAGGGCTCCTAATTATGCTTTTTTACATTTCAACTTTCTTTAGTGTGTGATGTTGCTGTTTGAGCATGAAAAGGTCAGCAAAGTTACAAAGCACAAAGTCCACTCCAAACAGAGTTATTCTCCATATCAGCAAGCACTGTTTCTGAACCCCCTGAAACACCTCGATTTGTAGTCTTGAGTTTTCTTCTGGTAACGTACGTCACAATATTCCTCATTTAAACAATTCCCGCCCCAAGGTATGCACAAAAAAAAAAGCCTGGTTGAATTGCGTTAGTAGTTTGTTGAAACATTCGTGACGTTTCCGAAACGCTAAGTGGTTGACCAATCACAACACACTGATCCTGCCAACCAATCAGAGCACATTGAGCTTCTCGGAAGGAGGGGCTTCATAGAGACAGGAACTGAACAGAGCGTTACTGAGAGGTGCTGCAACAATGTCAAACATGTGAAAAATAAGGTGTTTTTTGAACATTTAAGCATGAAAACCTATTCTGGTAGACCCCAAAAACAAAATCAAGGTCCTCTTTAAGCTGCACTCTTCCAAACTGATCAACTGACAATGGCCATAACCATCACACTTCTTTATATAAAAGAACAATAAAAGTACACAAAGTATGTTTTTCTTCAGTTCTACTTTGATAGCTGGTGAACATACAAATGGACGACAGTTGATTTTTGTCTCTCATTGTTAAATGATCTCCTCAGCCCTCTACGATGAGATCCGGCAGTTCAGAGAGGCCTGTGAAGACGCCCATATGAAGACCATCCTGGCAGTAGGAGAGCTGGGAACCTTCACAAACGTCTACAAGGCCAGCTTGGTGTCCATGATGGCAGGTGAGGACATTAAGCATAGATCTCAGAGGAAACATTTAATTAAATTTAGAAACATAATTAAATGTATTGATTTTACCGTATTGTTTAATTTTTCTACCCTTGTCAGGCCTTGTCCCAAATGGCACACTTCACTTTCAGTCTTGTGGACTTACAAAGGCTGCCGTGTGAATGTGTCCGTTAACACTAGAAGTGCCAGAATTCCATAACTACTAGAACTGCCACAAGCGGTCATTTTTACCGTTAGATTGCAAACTCTATATCTTTAATGATAAATACCCAATTGAGAGATAATGCATTTATTGGATTAGGATATCTTTTAAAAACAAAACAACACCAAAATGTACATTTAAAAAAGTTTAATTATACATTTATAAATAATAATATCATTAGGCTTTTTATTACATCTCAAGGGGTTAATCCTAATAAATTCTAATAATTAGGCTAGTCCGTAATTATCGCATATTCACAACAGATAGCTATATTTCCATATCTATTCAACATAACTCAGAACAAGATAATAACAACTAAAAGTTTCTTATTTAGATATTCTTTTGACAGTGAGAGAGACAATGTCACGGTTTATTAATTCGCTGTCTCCTTTTTCGTCTTGTTGTGTGTGTGTGCGTGCGTGTGTGCGTGGTCGCTGATCATTGCAGCTGATCAGCACGCCCGCTCTGATCAACGCGCCAGCTGCAACTGATCAGCGATTCTACCCTTTTTAGTGTCACTGTTGTCGCCTAGTCTTTGTCAGATCGTTGTGGATTTTTCCTGCGTGTTTGTTCCCTGCCTGTGTCCGTTTTCCGTGTGTTATCCCGTGTTCAGCACTCCTGGTTCTTCACGCAGCGTCCCTGTGCTGCCAAGGGCTTCATACCGGACATTTACACACCTTAACTCTCCCAGCATCTGACCAGCTCTCAATAAACATATCTGTCATTTTGCAATTGAATCTTCTGATTATTTCCTAATAGACAAAGGTCAACCGCGAGAAATGTAACTAAAGAATATCGCGAAATTCAGTGCGGTCAATATGACCGTCTATGGCCGAAATAGGTAAATATGTTCATTTGTTTTTTTTGCCTTATGTGTAATTTATATTAAAAACATTTTAAATGAAAATACAGACACTTTTAGGAAAAGTCAGGTACCAGCAGGATTTTATTTATTTTTTCAACAAAGTTATTGCAGATATTAAATTCAAAACGGTCAAAATGACCGTTGTGGCCGTTCTAGTGTTAAGTCCATGAGACTAGGGCGTAGGGTGTCCCATTTGTCATTTTAGGTGTCAGAAGGGTGTTCACAAGCGCCCCCTTTGCGTTCGATGCGCACTTTTGCCGAGTCTGCACTGAAGCGATCTCCGCAGCAGACTTCTTCCTGAGTAGTCAAAGCAGGGACTAACTGCTCTTGCTAACCAGCTAAATCTGACCCCCGGTATGGTCAATACCAACAGTGATGCTTGCCTAAAGCAAGTTTGATCTTTTGTCCAGAGTGTGGCGCCATTGCTCATCCTTTTCGCACTCAACATCCAGATCTCTCTCTCACACACACACACACACACAAACACACACACACACACACACACACACACTCACTCTCTCTCTCTCTCTCTCTCTCTCTCTCTCTCTCTCTCTCTCTCTCTCTCTCTCTCTCTCTCTCTCTCTCTCTCTCTCTCTCTCTCTCTCTCTCTCTCTCTCTCTCTCTCTCTCTCTCTCTCTCTCTCTCTCTCTCTCTCTCACACACTCTCACACACTCTCACACACTCACACACACACACACACACACACACACACACACACACACACACACACACACACACACACACACACACAGCAGGCCAGTGACTGTATGCTTAAATAGCCATTGCACATTAAGCCGATTACTGTACCCAATTGTCAGCGGCTCTGATAGGGATCGTTATTAAAATGCATTGCTTTTGTCGCCGCGCTCATTCCTTAATCTCCCCTTGTTCCTATGAATTGCGTATGAGGTTTCTGAAATTGAATGATAATTTCACCTATTAATCTGCGACGCCGGAGCTATTTTACTCCCACGCTCTCCGGCAGTGTCCCCCCGCTCCGCCGCAAATGAATAGAGCTTCATTACTGTCGCCCGCGTTTAATAACCGTTATCCATTATCGTGTAATTAAGACTCCCCAGAACGAATCTCAAGGATTATGTCAGTTTGAGGGAGAGGGTGAGCAATAGAGTGAAAGAGTGTCGGAGGAAAGGGGAAGGGGTGGGAAAAAGAGTGGAAAAACACATAGAACGTATCTTTAATGAACTGTAAAATGTTCATCTTGTTCTGTGCGGTAATGAACAGTCATTAGACATGAGGAAGGGCAGGCGGGACTCGGGTGCTGGGGGTTAGAGCTGGTCCACAGTTTGTGGTTCATCCATTAGAAGCGTCATTTTATCTTCTATTTTTATCGGAACGCTGATAAACCGTAATTGGCTATGAAGGAGAGGAAGGGAGAAATGAAAGCTCTTATTGATGAAGGAACGCACACCCTGTGAGCCCTGCCGACGGGACCATATGTTCTTGTCTAGCCTCCCCTGGCCTCGCGACTAATGTCCTGTCGGGGTTCAGAATCTGACGCCTCTCTGAAGTGCCTGAATGGAGGTGCTAAAAATGTGCTGGGCTTTCTATTTTGAAGAAGTGAACTTTGACCTGTCAGTCTGAGCCAAACAAGTGTCAGATGCAAGTTTTTAGCTTTTATTGACGAAGAATTAAAATACTAACCAGTGTGACCTGAAATATGCAGATGTATTATTAAACCACGTTGAAATGTGCTCTGTGCTCTCATGTTGGTTTCATATGCTTTTGAAAATCTTGTATATATAATTTCAAGAAAGGTTTTAGCTTGATGACTCTAAATGTCATGTGGTGTAACCATTAAGTAAAATTTAAAAGCATATCTTCCTTGCACCTTGAATACAGGTGAATAAGTGTACACATCTTAAGGCCTGTTCACACCAAAAACGATAGCTATAGCGTCCACATTTCAGCTCTTTAAAGCAGGGTGGATTCTGATTGGCTGTCAATGGTTTTATCATTCATCAGCTGGAAAAAAAATCATTCTGAAAGTGATTCTGCTATTCTTTTATATGTAGATTTTTTTTTTAAACTGTATCTTTATTGTTATAGTTATCCTCCTCCTCGGTGTAAACGGACCTTTAATCATTTTCGTCATTTTCAAAAAGATTTTTAAAAACATTAACAATTATCATGAATTTATAAATATCATAGTTTTTGGGGAGTCACTCGACATGACATTTAACAACCTTAACTAAACATATTTTGCCATAAAAAGATACATAAAGTATCTGGTATTTTAAGAGACTTATTGTCCTTTGTCAATATTTATTTTATTTATTTAAATTTATTTGCATGTTGGTTGCACCACATGACTTTTTGGATAATTTGTACAAAATAGATTCCAAATTTTTTATAATGAATAATATTTTAATTAAATATATATATATATATATCACCCTGACATTTTTTACTTCATGCCCTCCAAAATATCAATATAAATTTTACATTTACAAATTAAAATAATTGTTTTCTCTGCCTGAATGAGGATCAGAGTGGACCATACTTCATGCCAGTAGTCAAAAGGCTTTGTATTTTCGAAACTCTAGGATCGGACTTCATCAAAACTTCAACTGGGAAGGAGTCAGTCAATGCCACTTACCCCATTGCCATAGTAATGGTGCGGGCCATCCGTGACTACTACTTGAGGACAGGCCATAAGGTAAAGGAACAGTTGTTCCTCTAAATCACCTTCTTTCACTGGAATCATCCAGTCATCCATCATTTGTTGGTCCTCAGGTGGGTTTCAAGCCCGCAGGAGGCATCCGTACGGCGCAGGAGTCTGTGGTGTGGCTGACCCTGATGAAGGAAGAGCTCGGAGACGAGTGGCTCGATCCTTACCTTTTCAGACTAGGAGCAAGTAGCCTGTTAGCTGACATCGAGCGGCAGGTAATTACACCAACACTGTTTCACACTCTCAAAGCTGCTCTATTCTGGCTTCAGATGTGATAAAGTGATAATTAGCATCCATTATGGCTGGAAACAGACACTGTTCAGGGAGTGCGGCATCGTGACCCAGGTCACCTGTGGTGAATAGAATATAGATTAGCTCTTTTATTTATGTATTAGGCTAAATGTAGCTGCGTTTGACAAAGCTTTGTCATCATATATAGTTTTACTGAAGCTGAACGTTATTTTAATCAAACATTTTTATTGTTACAGATTTACCACTACGTGACCGGACGCTATCCCGCCTATCATGAGCTTCCTATGGCCTGAGTTTTTAAAAAATCTAAGATTTGGGCTGATGAAAGCTGTTCAGTGACACAATGGAAAGACACCACACCTGTTTGTTATGAAAAGAATTATAAAGAATAGAAGTGAAATGAAGCACAGTATCTGTCCTAAACTAAGAATATATTTTATTATATTGTAAAAACTTAAGATATGGATGTCTTTTTTCAAGTTATCTTGTAGAAAAAATGCAAACTCAAGAACATTTCTGGATGACACGGTGCAACCTGAACCGTCAGAAGTAAAAGTGCTCGCTTTACGTCAGCGCAAAGGCCTCTTGCATCACTTTCTCATATCTGCGATTCCCAGCAGCAGTTGTTCCTCAGACAAGCGTACAGATCTCGTAAGCTGCACCTGGGGTTACGCTATCACTGTCCGAGGCTGATGTTATTTGACTTCCGCTGAGCTAATTTCATTAATCAAGCGCTGGATGTCAGAAGTGTGTGTTTGGGATTAATTAAGAGGGGTTAAGAGAGTTTAAATGATCAGATAAAAGCGCGTGCCAGTTAGAGCTTCGTTTGAAGACCGAGAACTTTCTTTTTCTTCTCCCTCTTTCTTCTTTAATTAAGAGATCTCGGGCCGTGCCCTTGACTGGGATGGAGGATAAATGACTGAATTAATTGCGGAATGGGGAATGAGCTGAGAGGTGCGAGTGGAGTGAGATTGAAACTTCGGTAAATTCATTCGGAAAACTGGAGCACAACTAGATTTGTATTCACAGAGAAGCAGTAAAAGCTATTCTCACAAAAGCTTAATAATACCTGCATAAGCACTATGGTAGAACTGGTATTAGCATCCCTAAGAGATCCACAAGCAGCGGGATCCTGAAGAATGAACTAATTAATGCTCAAAAAGAATTATTTAGAACTTGATTAAAGCCCAGAAAAAAAACTTTTGAGATGATCTATCTATCCACCGGTATCTATCTAGTCCGTTCGTTCTTCCATACATCCATCCATCCGTCTGTCTGCTGTCTTATCTATCCTTCTGTTTGTTCGTCCATCCATATGCAGTATCCATTTGTCCATAATCCTTCTATCCTACTTGTTCATTTCTGTCTGTCCACCATCTATCTATCAATCCATCTGTTTGTTCTTCCATCTATTCGTACGTTCATCCATCCATTCGTTCGTCCATCCATATGCAGTATCCATTTGTCCATATATCCTTTTATTCTTCTTTCTGTTCATTTCTATCTACTATCCATCCATCCATCCATCCGTTTGTTTGTCCATCTGTTTTTGCGTCCATTCATCCATCCATCTGTTTGTTCATCTGTCCATAAATCCATTTGTCAATATATCAGTCTGTCTGTCTGTCTATCCTTCTGTTCGTTTGTCCATCCATATTCAGTATCCAATTGTCCACATATTCTCTATCCATCCATCCATCCATCCATCCGTTCATCTGTCCATCTATCCATCCATCTGTTCGTTCGTCCGTCTATACAGTACATCCATCTGTCTGTTTTTCTGTCTGTCTGCTGTCCATCCTTCTGTTCGTTCGTCCGTCCGTCCATCCATCTGTCTGTATATCAGTCTGTTTTTCTGTCTATCTTCTGTCTGTTTGCTGTCTATCTTCCTGTTCGTTTATCGTCCATACATCCATCTCTCTGTATATCCGTCTGTTTTTCTGTCTATCTTCTGTTTGTTTGCTGTCTATCCTCCTGTTCGTTTATCGTCCATACATCCATCTTTCTGTATATCCGTCTGTTTTTCTGTCTGTCTGCTGTCTATCCTTCGGTTCGTTCGTCCATCCATCCATATACAGTATCAATTTGTCCATATATCCTTCTATCTTTGTTCATTTATGTCTGTCTGTCTGTCCTATCTATGATTCTGTCTATAGTGTTATCAATCTGACACACATTGATAAGCTGTTCAGCTGATAGTCAGCTGTGTGTTGTGCCTGTGTTTCATTAGCAGTGACTGTAGTAGTTTATGAGGCCACACTGGCAGGGCTGAGTAAGAGTGATGGAGCCCCAGTGCTCCCTGAGGCCATGACAGATTAGCTTCACTTACATAAAGGCATGTAGATCATCTGCAATCTGGACCCGTGGCCCTCGCCACCAAGCCAGATAACGCTGAGGGATTGAGTTAGCCTTTAGATTGATTCTCCCCTCCACAGACAACACTTCCTCGCTTTCGCTTTCTTCCCTGCTTTTCTCCTAGCTCTTGCCTCTCTTTTACTCAATCACATTCTCTCCTTCAGGCATGTGTATTTCTTACGAACTCGTATAGCTGGAAAATATAAAATGTGAGTTTTATTAATCTTGGTCCTCTCCACCTGTCTAACACAAAAACAATGCTATAATCGTGTATTTTAAGCTGAAATAAACAAATTTGACTAATTCATAAGAAGAAATTTATTATGTATACTTACGTGGCAGTAAATTTGATCAGGGCGGCACAGTGGCCTGTGTGTGTGTGTGTGTGTGTGTGTGTGTGTGTGTGTGTGTGTGTGTGTGTGTGTGTGTGTGTGTGTGTGTGTGTGTGTGTGTGTGTGTGTGTGTGTGTGTGTGTGTGTGTGTGTGTGTGTGTGTGTGTGTGTGTGTGTGTGTGTGTGTGTGTGTGTGTGTGTGTGTGTGTGTGTGTGTGTGTGTGTGTGTGTGTGTGTGTGTGTGTGTGATAGTGTGTGTGATAGTGTGTGTGATAGTGTGTGTGATAGTGTGTGTGAGATAGTGTGTGAGATAGTGTGTGAGATAGTGTGTGAGATAGTGTGTGAGAGAGTGTGTGAGAGAGTGTGTGAGAGAGTGTGTGAGAGAGTGAGAGTCCGTCCGTCCGTGTCATGGGGAGGAAAGAACTGGTGACCCACCCCTGAAAATTCATGGATAGTCTCTCTCGTATATGGCAATAGATAAATATAGTAAAATATATAAAAAATCTACTTAAAAAAATATCAGGTTTACCAGTGTTTTTCATTAAATGAACAGCAGGACGTTTTTTTTTTTATATAATATAGTAAATATAGTATAGTATGTTTAATATATAAAAATATAAAATGAAGACTGAATATTATTTTATGCTGATGCAAACAAATGGAATCAGAGTTCACAAAAATTATTGAAACTTGTCAACCTTTAACACCATTTTTGCCACTGAAGTTTGTCTTCTGTATCTTGTATTGCTAGAAAAAGTATTGTGAATATGTGCTATATCAGCCACCCCTAGTTAAGTTTTTGCATCCATTTCCACCCTTTATCACATTTTCTTTCTTTCAAATCTTTATGAACACATCCATTTGTTCTAGCAGTCTAATTTGATTATGAGGTCATGCAGTGAATGAAATGTAAATGAACCAAGGAAACAGCTGAAATGCCAAAGGGAATGACTGAATTACATGTGAATTATTCATTAGAATATGTAGGTCTACTGTTCAAGGCGCTGTTTTGCATTTGAAGTGTTTCATTACATTTGACATACAATCTGATACAATTCTTAACATCCCATGGAAATCTTGTAATGGGAAAACTTCGTGGTTCACAATAGCATTCCCAATGGGGTCCAAAATGTGCCAAAAGCAAGTCAAAACTGCCTTTGCCGAGTAAATAAAACCTACTCTGTAGTTGGCTGGTAACTTTATTTTGAGCTTTGACAATACATGGCTTAAGTTTTGTAAGAACGGTATCTGACCCTCAATGATGTGATCGATGAAAATCAAAGACTCGTGGCAACATGTAGAATATTCTTCTTTGAATGAAGGAAGCTGCCAAAATTATAATATGAGGACTAACTGAATAAATAAATATAAACAATTATGCTAAATTATTAAAAGGTTTCATTATTTAACTACTTTAGTTAACATGAAACTAAAAAAGAACAACATCTCTACATCATTTATTAATCTTACTTACAACATTTACTAATATATTGTTAATATACAATTTTTTATTTATTAACATTAGTTAATGCATTGTCAACTAACATGAACAAACGATAAACGACTATTTTTGTTATCTAACATTAACAAAGATTAAAAAAATACTGTAACGAATGTATTGCTCATTGATAGTTCATGCATTAATGTTTACAAAAGAAACCTTATTGTAAAGTGTTACCATTATTATTAATATAAGTTATATTAAGATTATAATTATTTATATACATTTTAAAAATGTATTATTAATTAACTAATAATAAATAATAAACATTTACGGGTGTATTTACAGACTGAAAATGAATCTTAACTCTCTTGCTATTGACATATGTGGCAAAAAGTACAATTGGACCCTGATTCCCAGTATTATGAGTTCAGATTATTGCTATCTATAAACTAAATTAGGAGTCAATCTGTCGTATATTTTTAATTCAGTATGTATGACATATAGGCTTGGTGGCCGGTGCAAACGCTCTTGTAACCCGGTTTCCGAACCAATCTGACTAACTCTGTCAGCTGGTCGCCACTCACTCACTCACTCTCTGACAAATGTCTTTTTTCAGATTGATTGCTTTTCTGCTGTTTTATTCATAAATGTTTTTTCTTTCTCTTTGTTCCTTGAAGCAGTCGTGAAAAATGGTGCGCTCAGGGTGGCGTTTCCAGAAAAAAAAGAAAAAAAAATCATTTTTAATGACACGTGCGTCACCTGTCAAATACATTCATCACAGGCCAGGATTTTGCGTGTTGGAGGTGTTGTGTGTGTGCTTTTCACATATTACCCAGCGGCAACAGCAGCCTACCTCGTAATCAATTGCTATGGAAACATGTTATTCTGTGTGATTAATAGCATACACACATCTTATGTTTCTCTCATTTGTCTGAGAGTTGTTCAAGGGTGCTTAAACAGAAACATCCAGCACTGTGCTGCATTCATTCTGATAGTGCCATTGCTTATCATTGGCAAGTCATCGCTCGGCTGCTGAATTTGAACATGGTCGCAGACAAAAGAGAGCAAAACGACTGCAAAAGATCTGTGACAGAATGTCAGAAGTTGCCTTCGAAACGCTGCCGGTGAGATTATGAATAATTGGTTGCATTTATTGAGCTGGCATATGACAGTGAAGCCTGACAGTTTTGTGTCAATTGCATGTTAACATGCTTGTTTTGACATCCTCGATTTAGGAGTTTTGACAAAACAGATATTGTCCATTAATGCACGTATATGGTACTGTATATGCACAGTGTTGGGGAACTTTCCAAGCTGTCATAATCTAATATAGTTTAGCACAAGTCAAGTTACTCTTTTGCTGAAATAGCTATCAATTGTTGCCTATCTATTTCTCTCCTGTGATGAGTTCAAAATAAATATTCATTCATTCTTTCTTTCTGAATGTA